CCATAGTAGGACTCGGCGAGTAGAGTCAACCTGGAAGTTTGACTCTGACCAGAACTTTGACTTTGACCAGGGGTAAATTGGTCATTTACTCCATGAGGAATCATTAGTTGATTCAGAATGTTGTGTGATTGTAGTCGGGGAGTCGCCGGAGCAGCAAACATGAATTTCTCACTCGGGATATCAGCAGCCAGTTATACGAGGTGAGTTCTCCTTCAGTAGGAACGGGTCTACGGCACCAAGGCCGGCCTGTAGTATGATATGATAGTAGCTGAGTGTGGGCGGGGCCTATATCCTATCCTAGCAGAGTGTGGGCGAGGCCCGTATCTCATAGTAGTAGTTGATTATGATGTATGAGCAGTAGATTAGCTTTACATGTTGTCTGTGTGATACTTGTATGTTGGGTTTAGTAGTTGAGTGTGGGCAAGGCCCGTACCTCATCATGGCCGAGTGTGGGTGAGGCTCGTATCTCGAAGTAGCTGAGCATGGACGAGGCCCGTACCTCATAGATAGTGGAGTGTGGGTGAGGTCCGTATCTCCTAGATAGTGGAGTGTGGGCGAGGCCCATACCTCCTAGATAGCGGAGTGTGGGCGGGGCCCGTATCTCCCAGTTAGCGAAGCGTGGGCGAGGCCCGTATCTCCACGAGTGTGGGCGAGGCCCGTATCTCCTAGTTACATGCTATGTGTAGATGGTATGTGGTAGATTGGGGAGACTCACTAAGCTTTGTGCTTACTGTTTTCAGTTTTGGTTTCAGGTACCTCCACTAGCACTGGGAAGGGCTCGAGATGATCGCATGGCACACACCACAGTCTTTAGCCTGGGAGTTAGACTCTGATATTTGGATATGATATTTTGACACGAGATTTGATATGTGACATTGTTATGATATTTTGAGACATACTAATTATGGTTTTTATTATGATATTGGATATTAGGATTTTCACAATGAATTAAAAACGGAATTTTTGGGTTGTATTTTTTGGATGTTTCAATACTTTCTACCTTTGATCCAGTTATTGGAATTCTTCTGTCGTCTCGTTTTGATCCAGTTTTCCTGAAACAATCAGAAAGGGAAAAACGTTAATCGATGGAAAAAATAATCGAAAAGTGTTTTTTTTGCGAAGGTGAATCGTATAATTTGTTCATACCTTCTTTTGCAACAATGGCAACCAGAGCGAGAAACCGAGTTGTTCTCTCTTCCAGAAGGAACCCGATTGCCTGTCGGTGCTAAGTCTTTTCCGGTGAGATGATGGAAGCGGCTATATGTATATCATGCATGTTATTGTGTCAAATGTATGTTATTAGATTTATGTTTATTTCAGATTCCGAAATGGGCCTATCCATGTTCGGAATTAGAATCTTAGTTTGTATATATATATATATATATATATATATATATATATATATATATATATATATATATATATATAT